AAGTCAAATTTAGGGGTGGGCCTCTGGCGAGGCAGTTAAGATGGTGCTTGTGACACTTGCATCTCACATCAGAGTGCCAGAGTTGGAGTACTGGCTCTACTTCAGATTCCACCTGCCTTGGCAATGTGCACGCTGGGAGGAAGCAAGTGAAGGCTTAAGTAGATGGGTTCCTGCCACCCGCTAGAGAGAATCGTATTGAGTCCTGGACCCGTGGCTTCTGCCTGGTTCAGCCCAGTCTATTGCAGACATTTGGAGAGTGAACCAGTGGAAAGATCTCTTTCAAATAAAAACTAAAAATTTAATCAGATTTATTAGGTCGGTCATTTAGCCTAGCAATTAAGATACCTGCATCCAGCCGGCGCCGTGGCTCAATAGGCTAATCCTCCACCTTGCGGCGCCGGCACACCGGGTTCTAGTCCCGGTTGGGGCGCCGGATTCTGTCCCGGTTGTCCCTCTTCCAGGCCAGCTCTCTGCTATGGCCAGGGAGTGCAGTGGAGGATGACCCAGGTGCTTGGGCCCTGCACCCCATGGGAGACCAGGAAAAGCACCTGGATCCTGGCTCCTGCCAGGATCAGCACGGTGAGCCAGCTGCAGCGGCGGCCATTGGAGGGTGAACCAACGGCAAAAGGAAGACCTTTCTCTCTCTGTCTCTCTCTCTCACTGTCCACTCTGCCTGTCAAAAAAAAAAAAAAAAAAAAAAAGATACCTGCATCCTACTTTGATGTGACACCTGCCTCTGGGTTCTGAGTCCAGCTTCCTTCTAATACAGACTCTAGGAGGCAGCAGTGATCAAGTAATTAGGTTCCTGCCATCCATGTGGGAGACTTGAGGTTAATTCCCAGCTCCCAGTCTGCCAGCCATTTCAGGCATTTGGTGAGTGAACCAGCATATAGGAGCTCTCTCTCTCCCTCTGTGTCTCAAATAATTTAAATGGAAATAAAACTTAGTTATATAATTTATGTGCCCTTAACTACTCATTTCAAGTAAATAGTTTTGTTTCTTGATTGATGAATTTTGACAAATGCATATAATTACCACCACCAAGCAATTTCCATCACCCTATGGGGAGTGGGAAAAATTTCCACTGACAAGGGCCATTTGGGTATTTATCATATTATTCATGGGCCATACAGAATTATCAACCTAAAAATGAGCCTGCTGTAGATGTATTGAATTTCGAGTCCTGCCTGCGGTTGCCTCAGCAGGGCCAGACCAAATGATTTCATACAGCCACAGGCCGGATATTCCCCACTGCTGATACAGATCTATGGAATCACACAGCATGTATTCTTGTTGGGTCAAAACAGTTCATTCTTTATCACTTGCTAGTGTTCCATTGCACAGATATGTAGCAATTTGTTATTGGCCATTATGGATAAAGCTGCTATGCATATTTTTTACTATCTTAGTTTTTTTTAAATATTTATTTTATTTATTTGAAATACAGAGTTACAGAGAGAGGTAGAGACAGTTAGAGAGAGAGAGAGAGAGAGAGAGAGAGAGAGAGGTCTTCTATCCGCTGGTTTACTCCCCAATTGGCTGCAACAGCCAGAGCTGTGCCAATCCGAAGCCAGGAGCCAGGAGCTTCTTCCAGGTCTCCCACGTGTGTGCAGGGGCCCAAGGACTTGGGCCATCTTCTACTGCTTTCCCAGGCCATGGCAGAGAGCTGGATTGGAAGAGGAGCAGTCAAGAATAGAACCGGTGTCCATATGGGATGCTGGCACTTCAGGCCAGGGATTTAACCTGTGCACCACAGTACCGGCCCCACTATCTTAGTTTTTAAAAGATTTATTTGACAGGCAGAGTGACAGAAAGAGAGAGGGAGAAAGACATCTTCCATCTGCTGGCTCACTGCTCAAATGCCTGCAACAGCTGAGACTGGGCAGGCAGAAGCCAGGAGCCCAGAACTTCAACCAGGTCTCCCACGTGGGTGGCAAGGGCTCAAGTATTTGTGGTCCATCTTCCTCTATCTCCCCAGGTGCATTGGCAAGGAGCTGGATCAGAAGTGGAGCAGCTAGGACTGTTCAGAACCAGCCTTCTGATGTGGAATGCCAGCATTCCAAGTGGTGGCTTAACCTGCTGTACTACAATGTCAGCCCCTAGGAAATTTCTTTACAAGTCTTTTTGTGAACATCTGTTTTTGATTCTCTTGAAGAATACCTAGGAGTAGAAATGTTGAGTCATTGGGTAGGTGTATGTTTAACTTTGTATATTTAATGCTTTAGAAAATACCTGGGCCAGCGCTGTGGCTCACTTGGCTAATCCTCTGCCTGCTGCGCCGGCACCCTGGGTTCTAGTCCCAGTTGGGGTGCTGGGTACTAGTCCCAGTTGTTCCTCTTCCAGTCCAGCTCTCTGCTGTGGCCCAGGAGGGCAGCAGAGGATGGTCCAAGTGCTTGGGTCCCTGCACCCGCATGGGAGACTGGGAGGAAGCACCCGGCTCCTGGCTTCAGATTGGCGCAGCTCCAGCCATAGTGGCCATTAGGGGAGTGAACCAATGGAAGGAAGACCTTTCTCTGTCTCTCACTGTCTATAACTCTACCCGTCTAATAAAAAAAAAATAAAAAATAAAATACCTAATAGTATACAGAAGGAATTTTACCATTTTATTACTCTAATGAATGACACTGCCAATGGCTCCATAGTGTCATCATTATTTCATACTCTCAGTGTTTTTAAAATTTTTTATTTACTTATTTGAAGGGCAGAGCAAAAGAGAGACAGAGAAAGATTTCCCGTCTGCTGCTTTACTTCCCAAATGCCTGCAACAGTTTGAAGCCAGGAGCTTGGAACTCACATGCATAGCAGAAACTCAACTACTTGAGCCTCCCAGAGTGTGCATTAGCAGGGAGCTGGAAACAGGAGTGGAGCAGGCACTTGGCTCCAGGCACTCCAATGTGGGTTGCAGGTATCCCAAGCAGTGTCTCAACAGCTAGGCCAAAACCTGCCCCAGTACTGTTAGTCTTTTTTTTTCTTAATATTTACTTATTTGAAAGGCAGAGTGACATATATTTATTTATTTATTTGAAAGACAGTGAGAGAAAGTGAGAGTCCATCTGCTGGTTCACTCCACAAATGCCTACAATAGACAGGGCTGGGACAGGCCAAAGCCAGGATCCAGGAACACTATCCAGGTCTCCCACATGGTTGGCAGGGGCCCAGGCACTTGAGCCATCATCTGCTGCCTCCCAAGATGCATTAGCAGGAAGCTGGATTGGAAGCAAAGGAGCAAGGATTCTAACCTTTCTGATATGGAGCTCCCTGCCTCTTCTTTTCTTTTCTTTTCTTTTCTTTTCTTTTCTTTTCTTTTCTTTTCTTTTCTTTTCTTTATTTTTCTAGAGAGAGATGTTTTTACTCCATGATCAGGACAGACCAAATGTATATGCACCATATGAAAGTCAAAACAGCTGGGGGCAGTGCTGTGGCATAGCAGGTAAAGCTGCACATCCCATATGGGCATTGGTGGGAGTCCTGGCTGCTCCACTTCTGATTCAGTTCTCTGCTGGTATGCTTGGGAAGCTAGTGGAAGATGACTCAAATCCTTGGGCCCCTGCACCCATGTGGGAGACCTGGAAGAAGCTCCTAGCTCCTGGTTTCTGGCCCAGCTCCGGCCATTGTGGCCATTTGGAGTGTGAACCAGCAGATGGAAGATCTCTTTCTCTCTCCAACTCTGCCTTTCAAATAAATAAAATCTTACAAAAAAAAAAAAAGTCAAACTAGCCAGTAACTCCAGAGTTTGGTCAAAACTAAGGCACCAGCGTCATTGTGTATAGTGGGTTCTCATGGCACAGGTAATTTAAGAGCTCCAATTATAAGATTTAAAAAAGAGTGTAGGGGGACCAATGCTGTGGCATAGTAGGTTAAACTGCTACCTGCAGTGGCAGCATCCCATATGAGCACCGGTTTGAGTCTGGGCTGCTTTTTTTTTTTTTTAAGATTTTTATTTATTTATTTGGAAGTCAGAGTACCTCAGATACACAGAGAGAGAGAGAGGTCTTCCGTCGCCCTCTGGTTCACTCCCCAATTGGCTGCAAAGGCTGGAGCTGTACCGATCCAAAGCCAGGAACCAGGAGCTTCTTCCAGGTCTCTAACACAAGTGCAGGGGCCCAAGCACTTAGGCCATCTTCTACTGCTTTCCCAGGCCATAGCAGAGAGCTGGATTGAAGTGAAACAGCCAGGACTTGAACTGGTGCCCATATGGGATGCCAGCGCTGCAGGCGGCGGCTTTACCTGCTACACCACAGCGCCGGCCCCCAGGCTGCTCTACTTCTAATCCACCTCCCTACTAATGACTTGGGAAAGCAGTAGAGGATGATCCAAGTCCTTGGGCCCCTGCACCCATGTGGGAGATCTGGAAGAAGCCCCTGGCTCCTGGCTTTGGCCTGGTCCAGTGTCAGCCATTGCAACTATTTAGGGAGTGAACCAGTGGATGGAAGACCTCTCTTCCCCCTCTGTCTCTACCTTTCTGTAACTCTGCCTTTCAAATAAATAAAATAACTATTTAAAAAAAGATTGTAGGAAGGAACAGCTAACAGGACAGAGCCAGACACTGGGCAGGGGAGCCTCTCCCTCAGTTTCATCCCCCTGCCCAGTGCCCAGGGGCTACCCACCTTTCATTTTCTTAAATTAAATTTCAGAAGTTTTTAATCTTTATGAAGTCTAATCAAATTTTTCTTCTATGCTCAATGCTGTTTCTGTCTTCTCTGATGTCATAGATCATTGCCTACATTTTTATGCCTTTTATAGCTTTTGTCCCTATTGTGAATAGAATTTCTTTTCTGTAATATTTCTATTTAGTTATTGCTTATATCAGAGAAGTAACTGATGAGTATTGCAAGTGGCCATCAAATATTTATTAATAGTTTCTAAGTTGATTCTCTTTGCTTTCCATATCAATTGGAAATAATGCCATTATTTCCAAGAATTGTCCAATAATTTTCATTACCTTGTCAGTATTTATTTCTCTTGATTTCTCACTTCACTGCATTGGTTGTTATTTCCAGCTATGCCACCTATGAAGGTTTATAATTAAGTTTCAGAGAACAAGAGACTGGAGAGAAGGCAGAGTTACTACAAAGGAAGAATCAATAAAATTTGGTAAGTAACTGAATAAAGGGTATGGAAGAGAACTATAGTTTAGAAATAACTAAGATTTCAAGCTTAGAAACAGAGAAAATGGAGTTGCTATTATCAGAAGTGAAGGGATATATTTTGTGTGTTTTTTTTAAGATTTATTTTATTTATTTGAAAGAGTTACAGAGAGAGGTAGAGACAGAGACAGAGAGAGAGAGAGAGAGAGAGAGAGAGAGAGAGAGGTCTTCCATCCACTGGTTCATTCCCAGATGGCTGCAACGGCTGGAGATGCGCCGATCCGAAGCCAGGAGCCAGGAGCTCCCTCGGGGTCTCCCACGTGGGTGCAGGGACCCAAGCACCTGGGCCATCTTCTACTGCTTTCCCAGGCCATAGCAGAGCTGGATTGGAAGAATAGCAGCCAGTACTAGAACCTGCATCCATATAGGATGCTGGCACTTCAGGCCAGGGCTTTAACCCACTGTGCCACAGTGCTGGCCCCGGGATGTATTTTGAGGGAAAGATAATAAGCTCAATTTACACATTTTCAGTTTGAGGCTTTTTTTTTTAACAAATTATTTCTTTTTATCTCCTTGAAAGAGTGACACGAGAGAGATCCTCCATTCACTGGTTCATTCCCCAAATGCCCACAACAGCTGGGGCTGGGGCGGGCTGACATCCTCCTCTCCCACGTGGGTGGCAGGGACCCAAGTACTTGAGCCATCCTTTGCTGTTTCCCAGGAGCAGGAAGCTGGGTCAGAAGCAGAGGAGCCATGATATGAGATGCAGGTGTCCAAGTGGCACTTTAACCTGTAGCGCCAGAACGCCTGCCCCTCAGTTATACTTTATGGTGGGGTTTTCACGCAGAAGTGTCCTGTAGGCTGTTAAAAGTTGGGAACTGGAGTTTGGGTCAAAGGCCTAGGGTAGAGATAAAAATCTTATAGTCACCAGCAAAGGTGACAGTTGAAAAAATGATATGGGACGGTAATTTGAAATAAGTAAAGTTAAAGAGAAAAGAGTCTGACACTCAGTACCAAGGGTACAGGTGCAAAGAGGTAGCAGTGTCAAGAAAAAATAAAAAAGAATTTAGAACAGAAAAACATTTAGAATAGCCTTAAGAGCTATAAGGAGGGGCTGGCGCTGTGGCATAGCGGGTTAATCTGCAATCTGCAATGCTGGAATCCCATATAGGCACTGGTTCGTGTCCTGGCTGCAACACTTCTGATCTAGCTCCCTGATAATGCACCTAGGAAACAGTGGAGGATGGCCCAAGTGCTTGGGCCCCTGAACCCACATGGGAGACCTGGAAGAAGCTCCTGGCTCCTGGCTTCAGAATGGCCCAGCCCTGGCCGTTGCAGCCATCTGGGAAATGAACCAGTAGATGGAAAACCAATCTCTCTGTCTCTCTTCTTTCTCTGTAACTCTTTCAAATAAATAAATAAATCTTAAAAAAAAAAGAGCTATAAGGAATAGCCAACAACATAAAATAGCAAAAAAGAGCTTAAGGAAAACAAAGAGTGGGAGTAAGGAAACTTCTAAAATTGACAAAAGAAATGTTCATAGGGCAGCAACTATAAAATATAGCATTTTTAAAGAGACTTAGGGAAAATTAAACATAGATTATTAGATGCAATTAAAAATTGCAAATTTGGGGGCCAGTGTGGCACAGATACTTGCAATGCTGGGATCCCATATCAAAGCACTGGTTCAAGTCCCAGCTACTCATCTTCCAATCCAGCTCTGTGCTAAGGTACCTGGGCATGCAGGAGTTGATGATCTAAGTATTTGGTTCCCTGCCACCCATGTGGGAGATTCAGATGGAGGTCCTGGTTCCTGGCTTTAGCCTGGCCTGGACCCAGGTATTGCAGCCATTTGGGGAGTCATCCTATCTTTTAAATGAATAAATATTTTTAAAAAATTGTAAAATTTTATTGAGTGTGAGATAATGGTATTGTGGTTGCATTTTTTAGCTCTTTTTTTCCCCTGAAGACTTTTTTTTAAAAATTTATTTGAAAGGCAGAGTTACAGGAAGAGAGAAAGGGATAGACAGAAAAAGAAAGATCTTCCAATCATTGGTTCACTCTCCCAAATGGTCACAACAGCCAGGATTGGGGCAGGTCAAAGCCAAGAGTCCAGAACTCTATCTGGGTCTGCCATGTGGGTGGCAGGGGCCCAAGTACTTGGGCCATCACTTGCTGCTTAACTCTGCCTTTCAAATAAATAAGTAAATCTTTTTTTTTTTTAAGTGAAATGATCCAATATCTTAGATGTTTTAAAATACTCCAGCAAAATCTTAACAATGAAAGTGAGAGGGATAGATAAAACAAGAATAACAGTGTATTTTTTTAAACATTTATTTAATGAATATAGATTTCCAAAGTACAGCTTATGGACTACGTTGGCTCCCCCCCCCCCCATGACTTACCTCCCACCCGCAACCCTTCCCTTTCCCGCTCTCTCTCCCCTTCCATTCATATCAAGATTCATTTTCAATTTTCTATATATACAGAAGATCAGTTTAGTATACATTAAGTATAGATTTCAACAGTTTGCACCCACATAGAAACACAAAATGAAAAATACTGTTTGAGTACTAGTTATAGCATTAAATCTCAATGTACAGCACATTAAGGACAGAGATCCTACATGAGGAGTAAGTGCACAGTGACTCCTGAATAACAGTGTATTGATTGAACTGAGTGACAGGTATATGGAGGTTCATATCCTAATCTCTCTCCTTTGTAATGTTTGAAGAAAAGGCTTGGGGGGCCGGAGCTGTGGCACAGCGGGTTAACGCCCTGGCCTGAAGCGCCGGCATCCCATATGGGTGCCAGTTCAAGACTTGACTACTCCACTTCTGATCCAGCTCTCTGCTGTGGCCTGGGAAAGTAGTAGAAGATGGCCCAAGTCCTTGGGCCCCTGCACCCACGTGGGAGACCCGGAGGAGGCTCGAGGCTCCTGGCTCCTGGCTTCAGATCGGCGCAGCTCCAGCCGTTGTGGCCAATTGGGGAGTGAACCATCAGATGGAAGACTTCTCTCTCTGCCTCTCTTCTCTCAGTGTAACTCTGACTTTTAAATAAATAAATAAATCTTAAAAAAAAAAAAAAGAAAGACTTAGACTGGAAGGATCTCCAAGGTATATTGTTAAGCCAAATTTGGAGGACCATGCACCACACTGCCGAGGAAAGGCGTTGCTGATTATTAGAGGCTCTTTTGGTCTTCATGAGTTTTCACACATCTGATGTGCTGCTGTGAAGATTAAAATTGATCCTGAGTGGGGAAAAAAAACCCTGAAAATGCATACAGTTTATTTAAAGGCAGAGTATGAGAAAAATAAAGGACTCCACTTGTGATGACTAGAAGAATATTCAAAGTCCCAGACCTTGGGAAGATCCTGACCAAGGGTGAAATCTAGAAATTGTTATGACTAAGAAAACCTGGGGGCCAGCACCGTGGCATAGTAGGATAAGCCTCTATCTGCAGCAGTGGTTTGAGTCCCGGCTACACTTCTTCCAATCCTGCTCTCTGCTATGACCTGGGAAAGCAGTGGAAGATGGCCCAGGTGTGTGGGCCCCTGCACCCATGTGGGCGATCCGAAGAAGCTCCTGGCTCCTGGCTTTGGATCTGTCCAGCTCCAGTTGTTGCGGCCATCTGGGGAGTGAACCAGTGCATGGAAGACCTCTCTATGTCTCTCTCTCTCTGTAACATTGCCTCTCAAATAAATAAATAAACCTTTTTTAAAAAGACTAAGAATGCCTGATTATTCTGAAAATTTTTTTTAAAATGAAACTGTTATCAACTGGACTTCCTACTACATGCTGTGAATCCAGTAGAAACAAAATTCCAGATCCACATAAAATTGCATATGGGTATTTTGAGGTAAAGATTTACTTGATTTTTTTATTTGAAAGGCAGAGTGAGAGAGAGAGAGACAGACAGACAGACATAGAGTGAGGTCTTCCATCTGCTCGTTCACTCCCTAAATGCCTTCAACAGCTGGCCTGGGCCAGGCTGAAGCTAGGAACCTGGAACTTCATCTGGGTCTCCCTTTGAGTGGCAGGAACCCAAGTACTTGGGCCATCTTCCACTGCTTCCCTAGGCACACTAGCAGGGAGCTGGGTTGCAAGTGAAGTAGTCTGGACTCCGGTGTTCATATGAGATTCTGGCAATGCAGGTTGCAGCTTAACCTGCTGTACCACAATGTCAACCTCCAATAATGGATGATTTTGATAAAAGTCAAGTACAAGTCTTCATACGTCCCAATTGTTTCAATTGTAAATAAAATAACAGTATTTTATTTACAGTATTGACTATGTTTATTTTATACTGTACCTTTCACTAAAAATGTAAGTACTGCAAAAAAAAACAACAAAAAGACAAAATCAATATTCAGAAAAATATGGATGATAGTGTCATTTGTATAAGAAAAAGATGCTCTGTCTTTCCTTCTCTCTGTAACTCTGCCTTTCAAATAAACGAAAGAACTCTTTAAAAAAAAGAAAGAAGAGGGGCTGGCACTGTGGCAAAGTAGGCTACACCTCTGCCTATGGTGCTGGCATGCCATATGGGTGATGGTTCGTGTCCCAGCTGCTCCTTTTCCTATCCAGCTCTTTGCTGTGGCCTGGGAAAGCATCAGAGGATGGCCCAAGTGCTTGGGCCCCTGCACCCACATAGGAGACCCAGAAGAAGCTCCTGGCCCCTGGCTTTGGATTGGCCCAGCTCCAGCCATTGTGGCCATCTGGGGAATAAAACAGCGGACAGAAGACCTTTTTTTCTCTCTGCCTCTGCCTCTCTGTAACTCCATCTTTCAAATAAATACATCTTTAAAAATAAATAAATAAAACTTTTTAAAAATGGAAAAAGGAAAAATGGAAAGACTACAAATATTTGCTTGTATATGCGTAAACTGTTTCTTGTATGTTACATAAATCTGATAGCAGTAGTTGGCTATTGGAAGGATCATTGGAAGGCTTGCGGACACAAGTGAGAGGGAAGGGAGTAGGCACTGTGGCACACAGTAGGTTGAG